AGGGTTGTGTTGTTTGCTTAATTGAGATAAATAAAGGAGATTGGCTTAATGATTTCCTAGCCATTACCAGCTAGTAGTGTTCCCTAAGTATCATGGTTGAAATAGCTTTATGGATTTTATCACTTTTTTTTTCTTTTTCTTTTCTTTTTTTTTTTTTAGGGTAGCATCCTACACACGAGGAACATGGGAGAGAGCAAAAAGATGTTGGAGGGAAAGCTGACAAATAGGTAATGGATGCTGGCTTTGTTGGTGGTACAAAGGGATAATTGACAAAATAAAAATAAGATAGTGGAGCAGATAGAGTGGGAAGTAAACTATGAAAGCCTTAAAGGTGAGGACCAGGACTGGAATCCACAAAGGGACCTCAGCATTGCAATGCCAAGCATCACAATACCTAACTTTTCAGTGCCTAGAAAATTGCAGGAACACCTTTGTGATCTTCAAAGCCTGAGTTAGGTTCCAAGGCTCCCATACAATGAATGGGGAAAGATAGGCGCCTGAGATTGTGATCCACAGACCTAGCATGCTAGGTAGGAAGCCAGCTAAGCTACCCAATGGGAGATGCTGAGGAAAGAGGTGTGTGCTAAGCCCTGCCCCTCTCAGAAATAGGCACCTAAATCCAAGTTGCAGGGAGGCACCTCATTTGGTTTGTGATCTGTAAACCAAGAGAAGATAGGCATTGGGTTGGGGGAGGGATAGCTCAGTGGTTTGAGAATTGGCCTACTAAACCCAGGGTTGTGAGTTCAATCCTTAAGGGGGCCACTTGGGGATATGGGGCAAAAATCAGTACTTGGTCCTGCTAGTGAAGGCAGGGGGCTGGACTCGATTACCTTTCAAGGTCCCTTCCAGCTCTAGGAGATAGGATATCTCCATTAATTCTATTCTAAGTGGTCTGTGGGGCCAAAATCAAAAGAGGCTGGTAGGAGGAGGCAGCCCTCCCTTATAATCTTTGTCCTAGTGGCCAGGGTACTCACCCAGGATGTAGGAGACCCCCAGTTCAAGTCATCCCTCCAACTGAGGGAAGAACAGATAAGAACAGAGATCAGCCACTTCTCAGGTAAGTGCTGTAACCACTAGGCTACAGAATATTCTGATGTGGGTCTCCCTTAGTCTGTCATATTGAAATTGTTCTACTTGCTTCATATGTTTCAATTAAATTGTTTAATAAATATTAGCTGGGCAACTGAAAGTGTTAGAATCACTCTGTAGCCTAATGGGTAGAGCAGCTGCCCAAGAGGTGGCCAATCCCTGTACAAATCCCTTCTCTCCCTCAGGAGGAGGGTCTTGAATTGGGGTGGGGGATGTCTACCACATCCTAGGTGAAGTACCCTAGCTCCTAGGCTAGTTTTATAAGGGAGATCCTGATCCTTCTCCCACCCTTCCCCAGGTGGTTTGGGTGAGCTTACTTGAGAGACCTGACCTGGTAGATGGCCTCTGAGCACACCTACTGGATCAGTCCCTTGCATGTGAGTTAAGCAGTTGAATTCCTGTTTTCTTTAGTTTGTAAATTGCTTTGGGCTTGGGGTGGGAGATAAGTGTCCAGGTGCCTAGAGGGAGGCAGTAGTGCACATGGTCAGAGGCAGAAATATAGGTACCTAGGGAACTTTTACTGCAGAAATGTAGGCACTGAGTGAATTTAGGTGCCTACAGGGTTAGGTGGCAGCCAAGTGGGAGTTTTGTGGATTGCAGTAGTACCTTTGTGGCTCGCACTCAAGAAGTTTGTATTTGATATGGTGAAATAAGAGGGGAGGGACTCAAAGCAGGGTTGAGGAGGAGGATGTTGTAAGAATGGGGCACATAGATGATCTTACCAACCAAATAGACCTGAACAGGACAAAATTGTACTAGTAGTCAAGGTGTGAAATGGTCTGGAAGAAAGTTTAGTGTTGTAGTTAGATGCAATAAGACTTCTTTGAAATCTTGTGTAGGAAGATATAGACACAGCCTGGGATGTTGATCTAATGAGAGGGCAGAGTCAATAAGACACAGGTTATAGGCCTGATTAACTAGGAGGATGTTGGCATAGCCCACAATACCTATACCTATCTCATAGAACTGGACAGGACCCTGAAAGGTCATTGAATCCAGCCCCCTGCCTTCACTAGCAGGACCAAGTACGGATTTTTGCCCCAGATCCCTAAGTGGCCCCTTCAAGGATTTAACTCCCAACCCTGGGTTTAGCAGGCCAATGCTCAAACCACTGAGCTATATGACAAAGTAAAAGAGTGAAAGGGGAAAATCTTGGCAGGGGGCAGGTAATCAGGAGCTCACTTTTGACCATGCTGAGTTTGTTGTCTGTCATTCAAATAGAAATGTAAGAAAGACAGGCCAAGATATGGGATTGGACTGAGGAAGACTGATCCAGAGTAGAGAGGTAGATTTATGAGTAACTGGTGAAAATAGAGTTGTCAATAGGGTGACCAGATGTCCTGATTTTATAGGGACAGCCCCAATATTTGGGGCTTTTTCTTATATAGGCTCTTAATGCCCCACACCCCCATCCTGATTTTTCACACTTGCTATCTGGGCACCCTAGTTGTCAAAGCCATGTGAAGGGTAAGATCACCCATTGTTAAGGTGTAAAGGAAGATTAGGAGGGGGCTTTCTCACTATATACATTTATACTTAAACTAACATGGTTCCATTAAAATTTAAGGTCTCAGTGAAAACTGGGAAGCTCCAAATTTAAGGTTCCCATTGCCCCTGTAACTTGGCCATGTTATAAGTACATATAGATAAAGATTTGGAGCAGTTCTCTTATGTTTGTGTGCTAGGCACTGTACAACAACAGAAGGGTGTGCTCAAATGGATAGAGGTAAATGTGTATCTTAATATTTATGCATAAGTTATAAGAGAACTGAGTTAGATGGGGGGGAAATGTCACTGATGTGTCTAGACCTTTAAATTCTAATTATATTAACAGATTATATTATATTATATATATTATCTAATTATATTATACAGTTTTGTGTACCTAATTTTCCCTTTTTTTTTAAAAAAAGAGAGAGAACTTTAGAGTTCTGGTGTACTTATCCAACTGTGGTAAGCATATTGTTAACATGAGACAAGGATTGTTCATTCAAATCCAAATACAATAGCTGTACTGATATTTTCTGTGTGTTTTTAGAGGGCTGGGTACATGTTGCTATAGACACAATTATGGTATTTTGACTTGTGTGGCAAACAGCACGCATTTAAATAAACATACCAGGTCATGAAGGTTTCTGTAGTGGGAAACAGGATTGGACCAGGCACTTGTGTCAGTGGGAGATTGGGGAGAGAGTTTCTGCAGCTAGGATGGAGTTCAAGTCCCAGGAATTTGTCAGCAGAGCTTGGGGAAGATTAGCAGGCTTCTGCAGTTGAGTGAATAGTCAGGTTAGTACTTGTCCAATACTTGACTCTTTAGGAGTTTATATGCTGTGGTGTTGTAGCCCTGTTGACTCCAGGATATAAGAGAGAGAAGGTGGGTGAGGTAATATCTTTTATTGGACCAACTTCTGTTGGTGAGAGAGACAAACTTTCCAGCTACCTGAAGAAGAGCTCTGTGTGGCGTGAAAGCTTGTCTCTCTCACCAACAGAAGTTGGTCCAATAAAAGATATTAC